AGATTCTTAGTTTTTTTTTTCCAGTGTCTTAAGTTTTTTCCAGTGTGGAGAGTAGGGGTGAACCTTATTTTTTTCCAGTAGTCAAAAGCTTTTTTTTCCAGTGTCTACCCCTTTTGGGGGTCTTGTTGTAAAGATGATTATTTCAATTTTTTGATTGGAAAATGTTAAAGTGTGTATCCGCCTGGTTTTGTTGATGATTTCGATGGTAGGTGGCTTTGAAATCCTTTGGGTTTGATGAGTTGGAAGATGGGCAAGGCCCATCCTCACTATATAAAGGGTAAGTCAGACGGAACCCATAGATCCCCCCAACTATAGAACGCCACTTGAACAGATAAGAACTAGCTAGAAGAAATGCTTAGTACATATACATATACATACATAACTACGTTTAGAACAAGACAATACACATATGTACATACAATTGGATCTACACAGCATACTATATACATACCGTATCGAACAATATGAACCAATTACATATATTTTGTAATTTACATATGTACACATAGTAAATATGACGCACACACACATAGGTAATAGTGTATAATACATAATATTATATATATATGTGTGTGTGTGTGTGTCTGTGTATATGTACATATATGTAAACATAAATACACTAATAGATATAATATACATACAGATAGATAAATAGATGATCCTTACATATATATATATACATATATATATATGGGTATGGATCAATACCTATACATACCATGTTTAGGGGATGAACATCCATTTACTGGCTATTTTCATGTTCACCAGGGGTACAAGGTTTTGACACACTGCCATATATATATACACATGTTCCACTTGCATATCTGAGCACCGTGGCCCTTGTCCGACGTCGACGTTGGCGCGGGTTTTGCAGGTGCCATTTGTCCCTGAAGGACTTCCGCAAGACGATGTCCAGCTCCAATTCCTTGCGCAACACGTGCCTTGCGTCGAAGCGTTCATTGAAAGAACCACAAGTTGGTACCTCCTGTTGATAAATGATGATAATATACCCTCTGGTTATTTCACATAGCCATGGTATAGATGGCCCATGTATAGGTGATGTTCCCATTAATACCGCCATTTATAAGGGATTTTCCATGGCTATGTTAAATAACCAGAGGGTATATATATAATGTCAACCCTGGATTAATAAACCCCAAACGGTTGTTTAATTGGGAGGGTACCATGTAAGTATTAGATGAAATGACTATTGGAGGAATACCCCCTAATTTTCATAAACCATGGTTTATGAATCCGGGGTTGACATTAAGCCATGATTGATGTAATGGGATTGGGATGAGATGCAAAATTACCAGCAAGATCGGTTAACTAAATTAATTTACCCAAACCGATGTGCAATTTTAATATAATTGTGGGATTATACATGCATTTAAACCGGTTTTATGAATTCCAAGGCGGTTTTACATACATTTTAGAATGTGGGATTGAGATGCGAAAGCGACAAACGATGAGGATCTAAGGTGTTCCATGAAGGGTTTATAGAGGAAATGATCTTGATCATACAGTATCATACATGTCAATCATGAGAGTTTTGGAAGATTTGGGTTTGAAACACCAATATGGTGATGTTTGCGAAGCAGTTCGTTTTGGAATATGATGGGGCTGCAATGGGATGCTGCATTAGTGATCGCGGTAAGATCAGAAAAGCATCCTTTTTTTTTTCCTTGGGTGGGCTCCCCAATGCACTTAAAATCACAAATCCATTTTAAAATGGCACCCCCACATGAAAATCAAAAAAGTGCTTCTTGAAATACCCTCTGGTAAACTAACAGAAAGCTATGGAAAGATCCACCATTTTTAATGGGTAAATCATTTAAATCCACTATTTCTATGGCATTTTCAATAGCAAACTGTTGACCAGAGGGTAAATTAACCGGGATTGGCAGCCAAAACCAACTGGTGAATATGGAAGGAGTTGGTTGAAGCAACTTGTGAATCCTTTCTGAAAACATCCAGAAACCATCATAAAGTAAGTGTTACCCTCTGGTAAACTAACATAGCTATGGAAAAGCACCATTTTTAATGGGTAAATCAACTATAAATGGGCCATTTTCAATAGCTATGTTAGTTTACCAGAGGGTATATGGTATTATCATAAAGTCAGGCCTAGGCAGTCTGACTGGCAGTTTTTGTTGATCCCATCCCAAAAAAGATTGAGCTGGGTCCAGGAGATCGCCATAAAAAAAGTACATATCTTCCATCCGTTTTTGGGTTATGATAGATCTAGTAGGTCATCAAATAAAGATGGGCGATATGAAAATCCTTGGTTATACAGTATAAGCTAACATAGCTAACTGATTGGTGGTTTGGAACATTTTTTTATTTTTCCGTATATTCGGAATGTCATCATCCCAACTGACTAATATTTTTTTCAGAGGGGTTGAAACCACCAACCAGCTAATAGTCATTGCATGTCGTCATTCCATAAGCATTTAGCTGATCACCAATGAATCATTTGGAATGATAGGCATCTTTGGTCATAAACTAATGGTAGCGTATTACCTAAATGATAGTCATATCCTACTTGGAGTGATTCCCCACTTTTTGTCAAAACTGCCATTAGTGATGGGAATGGTTTCAAAGCCGGTTTATTTTCACCAATCGCACTGCAGACATATGGGTGTTGCCTAAATAGGGGTGCATTCAACATTATATTTCAGAGCATTTTTGTGTATTGAAACTGACGGTGGTGGTTAAAATTGTCCACATTTTGGAGAACACGCCTATTTTCACCAACCATCCGACAGTGTTAGTTGTAGATGTGTTCTAGTAAGCCCCAAAAAGGTATAGAAACCATAAGATGAGAATATGTACCGCTACATCGCATGATTTTTTTGGTGCGATGTTGCTAACCCCCTTACAATTCATAGTATTACAGTATTACCCTCTACTAAACTAACATAGCTATGGAAAATCACCATTTTGCATGGATAAATCAACTATTTCTATGGGCAATTCACGAAAGGTAGCGTCAGCTACCTGAGTTCTCCGTGCTTCAGCACAAGCTTAGGGGGTATTGGGGGGCCAGCCCGTGGAATTCATGGAATTCTCGCCGTTATGTATTGGATATCAATTATAAGGGGGGGGCCCCCCCCCCCCCGAAAATGGTCATGGGTTCAATTCCCACGGGTGACGCGGTCACGGGCCCCCACATTAGAGGCACACTTTCCATGAGGGAGATGTCCCTGTAGTCCAGCATAATTGGTTTGCTTCAGCCTCAATAACAGTTGCTGCAAGGGGTTTTAAAAAGGGGTTTTAAATAAACCCCTTTTCGTGCATCATTTCACGCTGCACAAGACACCGTATCATGCAGTCATGCTCTGGATAAAATCATCTTAGACTGCGCAAAAAAGTTTTTGGTGTATCGTCTTAGGGGCGCAACATTTTGACACCACTCCTCTCCCACTACACTACCTTTCGTCCGCCTCCGCCTGCTCTCAAGTTTCAATAGCAAACTCTTAAATTACCAGAGGGTACCCTACTTGGGGGTGTAGTTGGGTTTAGGATATAGTTTTTAACTAACCCTAATAAACTGGGATATTTATAAGCTGGTCAGGTATCGAGGATTGGCCCAGCTATGGCCTGACGTTTAGACCACACCCTGAGCCAAGGTTCGTGGCTGCGGATCAAGACAACGACCATCAGCTATCAGAGGAGGTACCGGGAACCATGGAACCATCCCCTGCCGTGGTAGGTTTATGGCATTGGGTAATCTAACAGTTTGCTATTGAAAATTGCCATATAAATAGTGGATTTACCCATTAGAAATGGTGGATCTTTCCATAGTTATGTGAAAGTTTACCGGAGGGTATATGTTGTCCTTTCATAAGAAAAGATATCCGAATGTAAGAATGAGTCCAGTTGCTTCACGTATCAGGGAATGTTTCAGATACCCAAATCAGAGTATTCATAAGATAAACTGAATAATGAACAATCCCCAATATCACCGGAAATGGGTGCTTTACTTTATTGTTGAATTTATTATTGTGCTAACCACCGTAAGGTCTATGTGAGGTCTATGGAAGGGAATCCCGCCACCAAAAAGAATATGGCCTCCAAATATGGCCTTAGATGGTACAGTACCTCCATTTTAGGGCCCTGAAGGTTTTTTGCCAGCCAATTTCATGGGATTAAGTAATGTAGTCGATTTTTGAGTTTAAGTATGGAATTTATTCAGTGAAAGGAGGGTGTCCATATCTATAGAGGGGTATGATAGGTAGCGTCAAGAGCCTCTACCTTCGATCAGTAAATATTTCAAGCATAGGATCCTCTCAACAACGAAAAAAAAAAAAGAAAAAAAAAAAAAAAAAAAAAAAAAAAAAAAAAAAAAAAAAGCCAACACGGAGGAGTAAAAGAGAGGAAAGATAGAGATCCTATGCTTGAAATATTTACTGATCGAAGGTAGAGGCTCTTGACGCTACCTATCATACCCCTCTATAGATATGGACACCCTCCTTTCACTGAATAAATTCCATACTTAAACTCAAAAATCGACTACATTACTTAATCCCATGAAATTGGCTGGCAAAAAACCTTCAGGGCCCTAAAATGGAGGTACTGTACCATCTAAGGCCATATTTGGAGGCCATATTCTTTTTGGTGGCGGGATTCCCTTCCATAGACCTCACATAGACCTTACGGTGGTTAGCACAATAATAAATTCAACAATAAAGTAAAGCACCCATTTCCGGTGATATTGGGGATTGTTCATTATTCAGTTTATCTTATGAATACTCTGATTTGGGTATCTGAAACATTCCCTGATACGTGAAGCAACTGGACTCATTCTTACATTCGGATATCTTTTCTTATGAAAGGACAACATATACCCTCCGGTAAACTTTCACATAACTATGGAAAGATCCACCATTTCTAATGGGTAAATCCACTATTTATATGGCAATTTTCAATAGCAAACTGTTAGATTACCCAATGCCATAAACCTACCACGGCAGGGGATGGTTCCATGGTTCCCGGTACCTCCTCTGATAGCTGATGGTCGTTGTCTTGATCCGCAGCCACGAACCTTGGCTCAGGGTGTGGTCTAAACGTCAGGCCATAGCTGGGCCAATCCTCGATACCTGACCAGCTTATAAATATCCCAGTTTATTAGGGTTAGTTAAAAACTATATCCTAAACCCAACTACACCCCCAAGTAGGGTACCCTCTGGTAATTTAAGAGTTTGCTATTGAAACTTGAGAGCAGGCGGAGGCGGACGAAAGGTAGTGTAGTGGGAGAGGAGTGGTGTCAAAATGTTGCGCCCCTAAGACGATACACCAAAAACTTTTTTGCGCAGTCTAAGATGATTTTATCCAGAGCATGACTGCATGATACGGTGTCTTGTGCAGTGTGAAATGATGCACGAAAAGGGGTTTATTTAAAAACCCCTTTTTAAAACCCCTTGCAGCAACTGTTATTGAGGCTGAAGCAAACCAATTATGCTGGACTACAGGGACATCTCCCTCATGGAAAGTGTGCCTCTAATGTGGGGGCCCGTGACCGCGTCACCCGTGGGAATTGAACCCATGACCATTTTCGGGGGGGGGGGGGCCCCCCCCTTATAATTGATATCCAATACATAACGGCGAGAATTCCATGAATTCCACGGGCTGGCCCCCCAATACCCCCTAAGCTTGTGCTGAAGCACGGAGAACTCAGGTAGCTGACGCTACCTTTCGTGAATTGCCCATAGAAATAGTTGATTTATCCATGCAAAATGGTGATTTTCCATAGCTATGTTAGTTTAGTAGAGGGTAATACTGTAATACTATGAATTGTAAGGGGGTTAGCAACATCGCACCAAAAAAATCATGCGATGTAGCGGTACATATTCTCATCTTATGGTTTCTATACCTTTTTGGGGCTTACTAGAACACATCTACAACTAACACTGTCGGATGGTTGGTGAAAATAGGCGTGTTCTCCAAAATGTGGACAATTTTAACCACCACCGTCAGTTTCAATACACAAAAATGCTCTGAAATATAATGTTGAATGCACCCCTATTTAGGCAACACCCATATGTCTGCAGTGCGATTGGTGAAAATAAACCGGCTTTGAAACCATTCCCATCACTAATGGCAGTTTTGACAAAAAGTGGGGAATCACTCCAAGTAGGATATGACTATCATTTAGGTAATACGCTACCATTAGTTTATGACCAAAGATGCCTATCATTCCAAATGATTCATTGGTGATCAGCTAAATGCTTATGGAATGACGACATGCAATGACTATTAGCTGGTTGGTGGTTTCAACCCCTCTGAAAAAAATATTAGTCAGTTGGGATGATGACATTCCGAATATACGGAAAAATAAAAAAATGTTCCAAACCACCAATCAGTTAGCTATGTTAGCTTATACTGTATAACCAAGGATTTTCATATCGCCCATCTTTATTTGATGACCTACTAGATCTATCATAACCCAAAAACGGATGGAAGATATGTACTTTTTTTATGGCGATCTCCTGGACCCAGCTCAATCTTTTTTGGGATGGGATCAACAAAAACTGCCAGTCAGACTGCCTAGGCCTGACTTTATGATAATACCATATACCCTCTGGTAAACTAACATAGCTATTGAAAATGGCCCATTTATAGTTGATTTACCCATTAAAAATGGTGCTTTTCCATAGCTATGTTAGTTTACCAGAGGGTAACACTTACTTTATGATGGTTTCTGGATGTTTTCAGAAAGGATTCACAAGTTGCTTCAACCAACTCCTTCCATATTCACCAGTTGGTTTTGGCTGCCAATCCCGGTTAATTTACCCTCTGGTCAACAGTTTGCTATTGAAAATGCCATAGAAATAGTGGATTTAAATGATTTACCCATTAAAAATGGTGGATCTTTCCATAGCTTTCTGTTAGTTTACCAGAGGGTATTTCAAGAAGCACTTTTTTGATTTTCATGTGGGGGTGCCATTTTAAAATGGATTTGTGATTTTAAGTGCATTGGGGAGCCCACCCAAGGAAAAAAAAAAGGATGCTTTTCTGATCTTACCGCGATCACTAATGCAGCATCCCATTGCAGCCCCATCATATTCCAAAACGAACTGCTTCGCAAACATCACCATATTGGTGTTTCAAACCCAAATCTTCCAAAACTCTCATGATTGACATGTATGATACTGTATGATCAAGATCATTTCCTCTATAAACCCTTCATGGAACACCTTAGATCCTCATCGTTTGTCGCTTTCGCATCTCAATCCCACATTCTAAAATGTATGTAAAACCGCCTTGGAATTCATAAAACCGGTTTAAATGCATGTATAATCCCACAATTATATTAAAATTGCACATCGGTTTGGGTAAATTAATTTAGTTAACCGATCTTGCTGGTAATTTTGCATCTCATCCCAATCCCATTACATCAATCATGGCTTAATGTCAACCCCGGATTAATAAACCATGGTTTATGAAAATTAGGGGGTATTCCTCCAATAGTCATTTCATCTAATACTTACATGGTACCCTCCCAATTAAACAACCGTTTGGGGTTTATTAATCCAGGGTTGACATTATATATATATATATATACCCTCTGGTTATTTAACATAGCCATGGAAAATCCCTTATAAATGGCGGTATTAATGGGAACATCACCTATACATGGGCCATCTATACCATGGCTATGTGAAATAACCAGAGGGTATATTATCATCATTTATCAACAGGAGGTACCAACTTGTGGTTCTTTCAATGAACGCTTCGACGCAAGGCACGTGTTGCGCAAGGAATTGGAGCTGGACATCGTCTTGCGGAAGTCCTTCAGGGACAAATGGCACCTGCAAAACCCGCGCCAACGTCGACGTCGGACAAGGGCCACGGTGCTCAGATATGCAAGTGGAACATGTGTGTATATATATATATATGGCAGTGTGTCAAAACCTTGTACCCCTGGTGAACATGAAAATAGCCAGTAAATGGATGTTCATCCCCTAAAAATGGTATGTATAGGTATTGATCCATACCCATATATATATATATGTATATATATATATGTAAGGATCATCTATTTATCTATCTGTATGTATATTATATCTATTAGTGTATTTATGTTTACATATATGTACATATACACAGACACACACACACATATATATATAATATTATGTATTATACACTATTACCTATGTGTGTGTGTGCGTCATATTTACTATGTGTACATATGTAAATTACAAAATATATGTAATTGGTTCATATTGTTCGATACGGTATGTATATAGTATGCTGTGTAGATCCAATTGTATATACATATGTGTATTGTCTTGTTCTAAACGTAGTTATGTATGTATATGTATATGTACTAAGCATTTCTTCTAGCTAGTTCTTATCTGTTCAAGTGGCGTTCTATAGTTGGGGGGATCTATGGGTTCCGTCTGACTTACCCTTTATATAGTGAGGATGGGCCTTGCCCATCTTCCAACTCATCAAACCCAAAGGATTTCAAAGCCACCTACCATCGAAATCATCAACAAAACCAGGCGGATACACACTTTAACATTTTCCAATCAAAAAATTGAAATAATCATCTTTACAACAAGACCCCCAAAAGGGGTAGACACTGGAAAAAAAAGCTTTTGACTACTGGAAAAAAATAAGGTTCACCCCTACTCTCCACACTGGAAAAAACTTAAGACACTGGAAAAAAAAAACCTAAGAATCTGTACTTTGAACCTTTTTGCAGCTGAAATCTCTTATTTGTACAATATTTGCAGGGTTTTGGAACTTAATTATGCAGTTTGCATGGTCTTTAAAGCGTTTTGGCTCTTGGAGCTGTATTAAGCAGGGGATTATCTGCAGCATGTCGTGTTATTTGCAACATATTGTCTAGAGTTAGTTTTAGGATCTATTTCAGGTTGGTTAGGGTGTATTTGGGGATTATTTCTGGTTGATCTTAGGTTTTCTGTACGGTTAGTTTGGGCGTGTGTTTTTCTAATTGTTTTGCGGTTTATATTTGGTTGCTTTAGGTTTCCTTTAGGGTTTCTTTTAAAGTTTATTTCGGCTTGTGCTATAGTGTTGATTTGGGGTTGGCTTGGTGTTTGTTTGGTGTCGATTTAAAGTTGTTGCAGTGTGAATTTAGTGCTGGTTTGGTGTTTTTTTCGGGTTGTTTTAGGATCTGTTTGAATGTTGGTTTGGACTTTGTTTAGGGATAGTTTTAAAGTCTATTTCGGTTTTTGTTATGTATAGTCCATGGGTTTGTTTGGTGCTGGTTTAGGGCTTAATTTTATGGTTTATTTGGGCTTTGCTGATGGTTTATCTGGATTGCATTATTTAAGATTTAATTTGGGTTATTTGGTTGTTTTTCCCCAACGGCGTAAGCTACGCTGAAGTCTTCAGCCCAGAATAGCTCCGGCACTGGTGCAGGCACTGGTGCTGATCCCAGATGCGCCAAAAAGCTCCCCCTTGACTGGTTGATCATCAATTTTCCAACGAAATAGCCAGTAAAATGGTGGGCCATAGGCCATTAAAAAAACAGAGCCATATGATTCTGCCCGAATGCCATCAATGAATCAATGATTCAACTTATCTAATCATATGATTCTAACATTAGAGTTGGATAGATATGATTCTGACGCCAGCCATCGCCATCTATCCACACAGAAATGGACAGTTGAAGTTGGACCGTTCCCAGGATTTCCCAGGCACTCGTTTTCATCGATGAAGCCATCGTGGTTGCTGTCCATCTGATTGAAGACAGCCTGGGACTGGGATCGGAGCCCGGGCATCCTCTGGGTATGAGATGGACCTGACACCACCATCGATTTACTCCGAAAGATGGTCATAGAAATAGTGGATTTACCCATTAAAAAATAGTGGATTTTCCATAGTTATGTCAGTTTACCATGGTATATAATGGCTGGTTGGTGGTTGACCTACCCCTCTGAACAATGATGGAGTGAAAGTCAGTTGGGATGATGACATTGCCAATATATGGAAAAATAAAATGTTCCAAACCACCAAGCAGATAGGGTTTTTACGATATGAAAGGAACTCCAAGATAAACATCTCCAATACTAAACTGATAAACTGTGGCTTCTGTTTCTTTACGGAAGGAACCTGTGCAGCATGAGTGGTTCAGGGTTTACTTCGATGTTGACCTTGTTGATCCATGTCATGTGCGGTGAACATACGGCAAGCCGGTAGGGATCACCGCCAAAAGGCTGACAAAAACAGCGAAATAAGCACACACGGCCACTCATTAATCTTGGGATATCTTAAGTATCCTGCCAAAAAATCAATGCATACATTGCATACATTCAAGCTGCTAGGACATACTCCACATTATAAATGTACATATACATATACATATCCATATCCATATCCATATACATATACATATCCATATACATATACATATACATGCATATGTATATATATATACACGTATATAATTACAGTATGTATGTGTACATCAAAATGGTGAAAAATTGCCTCTCTCTTTCCCTTACCATATTTTCCAATCGGTAAATCTCCATCCTTTTTCAGATCCCCCGTTTGCGCCTGAGCCACCTCTGCCTGAGGTGCGAATCCAAAAATGTGGCGCGGCTAGTGCTACTCAAGATTGGCTCTCCCCCTTTTTTAACTTTTTTTTGCCCAGAAAAAGATTGGAACATGACCAACTGTTTGTTTTTTCGTGTGGAGTTTCCCATCACTTTCAGAAACACAGCGACTTTCCCCAGTCAGTTCCTGGTCAGAAACCCTGGTCGGTTCTCAGCGTCCCCACGGAAAGCAAGGGTTCAAAGGATCGGATGGCTGACTGAAAGTGTTGGAAAGACACCTGAAACAGCAGCGCAACGCTTGGAAGTGGATTCACTTGGTGTGCTGGGCTTATATCATCAATAGGCTGTGCCACATGCTGTGTATAATTGTAATATATATATATATACTGTGTATCTATCTCCATCGCCATCCCAAAGGTCCAGATATTAATTGTGTATGTATATATTCATATATTTATCTATTTATATATTTATCTATATATATATATATGTATATATTTTTATCTATTTATTCATGTTTGTTATTGCTGTGATGATGTGTAAATCTTCGAGCCAGATGATTGGTCCCCAGGCTCCGTTTCCGTGCCTGCGTTCCCAGCTGGATGCAGGCCTGCTTCATGCCCCCAGCCCATTTGGACGCCTGGCGATCTGTGAAATGTCAAGACCTATGGAAAAACACATGGAAAAACAGACTCTACCCGAAAATTCTATAAATTTTCTAGCACTTTGGGATGATTTCCGAAAATTTGTGTAATGATTAGTAATGTTTTGCTGGCTGCATCTCAATTGTTTGCTGATCAATACAACCATACAACTCGTCACTTTTCGGCGGGCTCCAGGTTCGAAACCTGCGGAAAGAGCTGCGACTGATGGATGTCTTTCTGTCAATATCTCTTACAATATACATAATATGCATATATACACATACATATACATAGAATACACATCACACACACATGAATATGTATATACTACATGTCTGCTTTTTTTGGCACACTGTATATATATATATATAGTACATGTATGTATAGATACATTACAAAAAGAAAACACATACTGCATCCATGTATATCTAGCCCCTAAATCCAGCGTTTGTAAAGATCATCAACCGGCAATATCCGGCAACTATGATATTATATATATATATGCAACTCAACCAAAACCCAAAAAAATCTTCCAAACTCACAAGTGGTGGATCCCGACACCGGGAATCCACCTGCTTTCGAAACTCCTCTTCCGCCTGTGGGTTTTTGTAGGCAACACGAGGAAACCCAACTCCCGGTGGCATCCCATCTCCCATGACGGATCCATGGTGCTGGTATAAATATGCTAACATAAAGGGGGTATATTGATGGGATCCATGTTACCATATATAGCAGCACCATGGATCCTATGGGCTATAGTAGCTTATCTCCATTTCCGTTGGTTTTTGTATAGTCAATGGAAATACCTAGGCCCTGGTTCCCTACGTCAAAATCCTCATCTGAGAAAAAACATCATATCTCCATGATGCTTTGGGGCTGCCGCAAAATAGAAACATAGAAAAACTACAAACAAACAAATCGGTACTGTAAATCGCCATCAAAATAGGTCCCTCACTTTGAATGTTTAATTGATTTTAATTGTGTTCTTCGGGACCCCTTCTTCATGCCAAATTATCACAATTCCGCCGGAATGAAGCCAAGTTGGGATGATTCCCAATCACGCATAAGCTTTAACCCATCAATTATGATCGGGTCGCCGCAAGCTTGCTACTCAGATTCATCCCTGACTCCATCCTATCCTATCTACTGACCGCCCCAGCACAGGCGCCTTCGACATCAGCTGCTGCATGTTCTGATTTAAGCTGCCACCTGGACACTCAGATTGCCCCGTCGAAGATCCCTATCGAAAACATCGCTTCCAACATTTTGGGAGTTCCAGTGGTTCCTGCCAAATTATTTTTCGGAAGATTGGCATGCATTTACCCTTTAATACTCCATAATACTCCACCTATGATGCAGGCAAATTGTGGTAAAACTCGGGATCCTATGATCCTCTCGCGAGGTCCCAAACACATCTTCGTCCGGACGAGCCCAAAATGACAAAGTGAGAGATCCTAAAACAAAGATTTCCGGTCGTTGGAAGGGTGCCATTCTTTCCGAGCTTGTGGTTTCAAGATGTTCCAATCATCAGATATGGCTGTATGTATGAATAATAAATGATAATAAATGTAAATAGTGCATATAATGAATGTATATATATAGATAGATGCATGTTCTGTATATATATATATATGAATAGATACATGATTATATATATGTGTGTGTGTGATAGACATGGATGTCTATACTATATCAAACAGCAGAGGTGAGTAAAGCCTCCCAAAAAAAAAAAACCGCCTGTGGGCATTGCAGCGTTCAAGACCTCAATTCAAGAGCCAGGAATGTGCAATATCACCGGAGGGGTACCGGGACCCATGGTCTCAATGGATTGGTTTAAGGGAAAATCTTAACCGGAAACCATGGAATTTTCCCGTGAAATATGGGGGGGTTCCTGTATTTTTCCCCTTAAACCAATCCATCTTTTTGGTCTCAAAAAAGGTGAGCCCAAGGAGATGGTCAGATGGTTGAGATATGTTGAACTATGTTGATATATTAGGTAGGCCTGGTAGGCTCATATAATGGATTTGTGGTGCTTGGTGATCATCAAGCCAAAGCTCTACCCCAGAAAAACTCATGGGTCATATGGGTTCACCTGACTTCGGCTGGTTTCCTGGCTTATGGTGAAAACCCCACTGCTTCCAATCACTGCTGCCATGAAGTGAGAACTCTTAAAATTACAAGGGGCAACACCATTCAGGAATATTCAACATATTCTTCATTTGACAGCCGGAAACCCAAACAAGCTGCGACCAGGAGAATTGATGCTGATCTAACCTGGTCAGCCATTTCTTGCTATAGAGATTCTTTGGTGCTCAAACAGCTCAAGCCATTCACAAGCAAACTTAGCCGATCTTGACGGAATACCGGTGGAAGCATATCCAGCATTTTTTATCCAAAAGTAGTCTCAACAGCCCAATCTTAAGCTCAAAAGTACCCTCTGGTAATTTAACATAGCTATTGAAAATGGCCATTTATAGTGAGTTTTCCCATTAAAAATGGTGGATCTTTCCATAGTTATGTAAACGTTTACCAGAGGGTATTCAAAAGCCACAAAAGCCACAAATTCCTGTCATTTCCTGTCTCATGGGACTCATGGGGTGTGCCAACAACAGATCTCAGTTTCGAACAGCAAATTCAGCTCGCGAGACCTGGAAGGGGCCACCTTGGGGCCTCATGCATATCCAACAGGGCTAGAACCATCGATATCGATATCTATATCTTAAAAAAATCTATATATTTAGTTTCACTATATATGAAATATCTTATGTATATAATATTCTATATATATATATACACGTATAATTACGTACATATTTATACATATATATATATAATCTATTATTATCTTATATCTTATATCCCTTAGCTTAACTTGGTGGCCCTTGCTGGTGAAATCGTCCTGAAGCTTGGACCCTCGGCACCTTGCCATTGCCATCGCGGTCCAAATTGCGAAAGGCCTGGACGAAGGGTCTGGCTATGTTTGGCTGAATCCAATCTGGAGTGATAGATGGCCTATGATGGCCTGGAAGGATTGGAAACACTTTAAACCAAAAGAATTTACCCTCTGGTTATGACTAACATAGCCATGGAAAATCCCTTATAAATGGAGGTTTCTAGCTGGGAAAATCATCTATAAATGGGCTATTTTCCATGGCTACTTTAAATAACCAGAGGGTAAGCCAATTTGAAGACCAAACTTACACGTTGGCGATCTCGGGCTCGTTTGCCGTACCAAGCATCATCCATGGATGGCAACGTTATGGTGAGAGCTTTCTAGTTCACCCGATTAACCCCATCGCCTATCACTGAATCTGCCCTACATGTGTGGATCCACTAATTATGGAGGCAGGGTTTCCCTGGGGGGTATTTATTGATGGGGGGGAAGGATGAATCATACTAATCAACGGAGGCTGTATCAGTCCTGGGTGAACAGGCCTGGTTGAAACACTTTTTTAATAATTGGTTGAATAAGGAATCAGTCCTAGAAACAGGAGCCCCTCAACAAATTTGGATGGCAAAATCCATGGCTTTGCTGCGAAGCCATGAACTAAATTTGCATGAAAGTCAGCAGCTTCCGTGGGAAACACATCAAGAAATTGGGAGAACAACAAACTGATAGCTCTCCGGCACATACCTGTTCTTCAACCAACCCAGTCATTGGATGTCATCGGATGTCATCGGTGTAAGCCTGTTCCGCTTGGAAGCCACTGATGGGCGGCTGGAAATGTGCCAAGGTCTCTTTGAACTCCATGACGGACTCAGATGGGCTAAAGAGCCGCTGGGGAAGAGCGGCGAACCCCACAGCAACCCTACATGGATCGGCTAAAGTTAGTCAGTAGATGTCAGTAGTAACTCGTTCGTCTCTGTCAGTTTTCTCGACTTAGAACCTCTTATAACTGGGCATACCCTCTGGTAAACTAACATAGCTATGGAAAATCACATCTTTAATGGGTAAATCAACTATAAATGGTCCATTTTCAATAGCTATGTTAAATTACCAGAGGGCAATATAGCGGATTGGAATAAACCAGTTGCTAACCAGTGCAATAACTCTCCGGCCCATCCAGGCAGGACTGGGGCTGCACATGGCTGCACATTCTGCACAGCTTCCCTAAAGTAGCACATGATGTATATACTTGTATATTGGTGATGGCGCGCTTTCCCATTCTTGCTGGTTACAACTGGGGCTACAGTCAGTTCCGGTATCCTATAATAGGGCACCTTAAACATAATTATCATAATTCATGTGATACTAAAACTCAACTTTTGACCCATAGCCATACTTAGTTGATCTTATTTTTTGAACAAATTTAAGTGGACACCAAATGATGGAGGTCGGAGTTCAAACCCCAAACCAAGGTGTGAACGTACCAATCGTACCATCTGGGGTCGCCACCGCATCATCGCTATGATCCTGGCGACTTGAGGCGCCGGCAGTCCGCTGCAGAATCAGCCACGAAATCATGGGAAAACTCGGGGGAAATGATGGTTAATGATGAATAATAATGGTTAATGATGGTTAATGATGGTTATTATTATCATCATTATCATCATTATCATCAAATTTCATCAAATTTCATCCCATCTTTTTCACCAGGCACCAGGCATATATAGGCATATCCACATCTCCCTCGTGTCATCTCCTGGTCCATGCTGTCAAAAGCATCACTGGCTGTCAGGAACGCACCAAGCATACTCTGAACCAACCTGAGGGGATGAGAGCTGGAGAAAGCCCTAAAGTTCGGCATAGCGGAGACCCCACCCCCCCCAAAAAAAGAGGAACATATAGGGGTACATGGTATAATCATGGTATAATCATGGTATAATCATGGTATAATCATGGTATAATCATCAGGATTATCATGGTTAATTATCCATTGATAACCCATCAATCATCAAAGAAAATTATGAAATGGACATGAACACGTGATTTTCTGTGACACAAGCAACCCAAAAAAGGGTTGCTAGTCTCACCCCGCGGGCCCTGCACCATGGTTTTTCTGGATTCCACGTCTGAGGTTAGAACACTTGCCATGCAGAGTCGCCAAGTTTGGGGAAGTCCAGACAGTCTATGTTTCATTTCTGAGGATTGTAAATGCTAAAGTTCAGTTTTCCAGATGTCCGGGGTGACCCCCAAAACTCACAACTCGTCATCCAGCGCACGGGAGCTTCTGACTATCCTTCACGCTCTTCTCTGCGGGACCTCTGGGGAGGTTGAAACGTCCATGACTCATGTCGCAACTCGCTTCATCAACTTTGAACAAGTGCCATTTCCTGTGGACTGTAGCACCATACCCTTCCAATCCCATGTTTCTGGGGTGTCATGTTCTAAATTCCAGGCTGTAGCACCTTCCTCGCATCGGAATTGCCTCCAAACTCCCCAAGCTACTGGTTCTACCTGAAAAATCATATTCAAACCCACCAAAAATGTGCTTTCGAATCTGATTTTCCCATCTTTTCCGGTGTTTTCTGCCCAACAAAATCCGGTCCATGCGCCTTTCACCACCTTATCATCCCCACTTTGCTGCCAGTGGGGCCTCCAGGGCGTGGTCGCAGTTTTTTTTTCGGAAACTTAGGTGGTCCATAAATGGGGTACCCAAAATAGATGTTTTTTTAAAGGGAAAATCCGAAAATCACATGGATGAATCAACATAGATTGCTGAATCACCATTCGGTTGCTCCGAGTTTGAGAACTCATCCATTTAAAGATAGGTTTTTCGGTTTTTCCATGACCATCCAACTATTTAGGATACTATTTGGGTAGCTGCTATAGCTATGTTTCTGCGGAAAGCCCCAAAGATTTAAGCTCTATTCTGAAAAATCGGGGAAGCCATGCGGCCAATTTTGTGCGTGGAATTGATCAAAAAAAATGCTCACGGTCACGATCGCGACCATCCCAAAGTATAATTCTCTATATGCTGTTCATTTTTTAATGGGAACCATATGTAACCATCTTTAACCTATACATACCTATACTGGGGTCTTAGGGAACGCTACAGAATCTCTCTCATTTAATGGACCCATAGCTCCAAAGTTGATTGGAGAATGGATACCCAAGTTGAATCTGTTACAGTAAATCAACACCCGCCCAGGGGGGAAAGCCACCATAAACGTAGATCATGTTCCATGGAAACTAGCCAGGGTGTCCTTCCATTGTTTTTTTTTCCATGTTTTTTCGATGTTTACCCTGCTTCCGGGTGCAGTTCCAGTAAGTTCCAGCTCCAACTGGTTGGAAAGGACCTTATATGACCATAGTTGTAAACCTAATATCCCAGCTTATTAGGCTTAATTAAAAGGTATATCCAATAAATCCAACTACAGCCCCAAGTCGGGTAACCTCTGGTAAAACTTAACAGTTTGCTATTGAAAATGACCCATAGAAATGGTTGATTTATCCATGCAAAATGGTGGATCTTTCCATAGTTATGTTAACGTTTACCAGAGGGTAAATCCTATTAAAACCCATTAGATCCCATTAAACCACCATAAAATCCCATTAAATCCCATTAGATCTCATTAAACCACCAAAAAAGTCCCATTAAATCCCATTAGATCCCATTAAACCACCATAAAATCCCATTAAATCCCATGAGTTTTTTGTATGTTTCCCAGAGGGCAACTGGTCAAAAAACCCTGCCGGCATCGCCTGGCATCGTGGATCCAGCTGGATGCCTGTCGTTTGCAGGAGGGTCATGATAATGAATGATAGTTCATGTTAATAGTTGGTGATACCCTCTGGTTATTTAACATAGCCATGGAAAATGGCCCATTTATAGATGATGTTCCTATTAATACCTCCATTTATAAGGGATTTTCCATGGCAGTGTTAAATAACCAGATGGTATATGTTAATGATATATGTTAATGAGATGCATGTGTATATATAACATGCATAAATTAATAGTGTTATAAATTTATAAAACTATAATATACTATAATAACCATATATATATATGATTGTTAATGTTGGTAAACCCAATGCCATAAACCATCCCCAAGTCATCACCATTTCTTATGGGTGGGATTTCAACCATCCCCATCTGGGGAAGAAAATGCTCGGAATTTTGCTACATTCACCAGTTCATTTACCCACCATGGCAAATCATGTTTATGATTATACAATTATAGCCATGATATATAGTATCGTATAGTAAAATCCCTGTGCTTCAGTCCCTATCAACTTGGTAAAATCAAACTTCTGTGCCCGCGTGCCCTTCCTTGTGCCCTACTGCCTTTGCATGATGCTGCATGGTTGCTTTGTCCCAATGCAGCACCTTCCTCAAAGCCTGCCAGGGATTTCGGCTGTGGCCTTTGAGATATAATGCGTATCTATACGGCTATACACATGCATTATAATTCTCAAAAAAATAGAACAGCAGAATCCTGCTAAATTTTTATAATGATTATAATTTAATGATTTGTATACTTTTCTACTATCTTTCTATAGGGTTTGCCATTTCTCTCTCTCTCTCTCACTTTCAGACCAGGTCTGCCTCAGTCTTCCTGAGGGGCAAGACGGCCACTATACATTTTGAGGCAAAACCATAGCCATACTACGTCTTTGTGGGTCAAAACTCATGTGAACCATGCCATAGCAAAGTGTAAATCAACACCTGCTGTTTTCGGGCTTTGGATGCATTTGACAGAAACAAACATGAAACTAATAACTGAACCTCAACACCTGCTGTTTTCGGGCTTTGGATGCATTTGACAGAAACAAACATGAAACTAATAACTGAACCTCAACACCTGCTGCTGTTTTCGGGCTTTGGATGCATTTGACGGAAACAAACATGAAACTAATAACTGAACCAACTCACGTGGCAGACACTAAGACGAAATCTCGCCTTTCGAAGAATGCAGAGATTCAAAACTACCGTCTGGTTCTTTAACATAGCCATGGAAAATCACCATTTTTTATAGGTAAACCATCTATAAATATTATAAATGGGCCATTTCCCATGGCAAACTGTTAAATAACCAGAGGGTACACATTGATTACAAAACAACTGACACATCCTCAGGTGAAATCTAAAGTCATCACATTTCCAGATCCATCTCCGTTAGCGTTCATCCTAGATACGTACTGCCTCTCAAAACATTGAGCGGTCCGGCATGTGTATCAATATACATGTACATAAACATATACATACAGTTACATGATATTACATGCATATACATCTGATAAGGACGGCACGTGTGATTAATTCCATGTAAAGGATGAACTATAATATGACCACCTTACCGTTCAACTCGATCAACGAAAAATCAATGCCCCACATCCCTGCGATCTCACCTCTTGACTTTGGAAAAGTTGTCCAATGTCCAAGGTGCCTTGCAGCCTGAGTCATGAAAAACCAATGGAAAAACACAAATGGCTATGGATCAATACCTATACATACCATTTTTAGTGGGATGAACATCCATTTACCAGCTATTTTGGGGTTCACTAGGTACCAGGGTTTTGACCCATCCCCAAATCTCCTCCTCGTTTCTCCAAACAGGCGAAAGAATTCCCAGCATTTTAGAGGTGTTGGAGGCCTCCAAACTGAATTGTCTTCCAGCCAATGGGGGCTTGGTTTAAAATGTTGGGCGTACCCCGTCCATTCCTCCGATTCCTTCTATCAAACCCATATGATCACGTCCAACAAAAAAAAAAAAAAACATGACATGTAGATTTCCCCAGAATTTCCCCACGTTCAGTGGATCAAACCCTCGATTTGCGGACCGCAAGACCATTGAAGATAAAACAGAAGATGAACAATGCCCAGAATTGTCACATAAATCTCCCATAAACATTCCATGAATGTCCCTTTTAATTGTCCCATGCATTTCCCATGAAAATCCAATACATGTCCAATACATTTCCCATAAATGTTCCATACATTTCTTATAAGTGTCAATGGTTTTTCCCATACATTTCCATGATTTTCCCCTAAACATCTCCCACAAGTGTCCCATAATTTTCCCAGAATTGTTCCATAAACATCTCATAAATGTCCCTTTTGAATGTCCCAGGTCTCATGTTCCGTCCCATACACCCATAAATGTCACGTGGTTTTCCCATGATTTTCCATGGTGTTCCCATCATTTTCCATGATTTCCCATCATTTTCCATGGTTTTCTCATGAAATTTCCCATCAAATGTCCATTTTCCCATCATTTTCCCGTCATTTTCCCATCATTTTCCCGTGATTTCCGCGCCCCAAACGTCGGGTTCCCCCAGCTCCGGTGGCGTCAGATGCCCGTCCCTCAGCGCGTCGATGCCCTCGAAGAGGTACGCCGCAGCGCTGCTGGGCAGCGGCGGGTCCAGCTCCGCGAGGCCCGAGGCCCACCTGGGACGCTCCGCGAAATCGTGGAACCATTGGTTTAGTATTTGGTTTAGTTAATGTTTAGTATGGTTTAGTATGACTTAGATATCATAGTATGGTTTAGTATGGCTTAGTATGGCTTGGCTAATGTTAATCATGGTTATTGGTTTAGTATATGGCTTAGATAATGTTGTTGCTTTTTTTGTTATGCTTTAATATGGTTTAGTATGGTTTAGTATGGTTTAGTATGGTTTAGTTAATGTTTAGTATGGTTTAGTATGACTTAGATATCATAGTATGGTTTAGTATGGCTTAGTATGGCTTGGCTAATGTTAATCATGGTTATTGGTTTAGTATATGGCTTAGATAATGTTGTTGTTTTTTTTGTTTTGCTTTAATATGGTTTAGTATGGTTTAGTATGGTTTAGTTAATGTTTAGTATGGTTTAGTATGGCTTAGTATGGCTTAGTTAATGTTGTTGCTTTTTTTGGTGGTCCGATCATATCATAGCTATAGATAATGGAAAAGCTATAGTTGATAGGTGGTTTAGGATGGTTTAGTATGACTTAGATGAAAATGATCCAATAAGGTGATAAAATGTGATAAATATATAGGTATCATGGTGTTTAATATGGTGATAGATCTGGTGCTGTTACCATCTGGTTCTTTAACATAGCCATGGAAAGATCATAGATCCACCATTTTTAAGAACGGTAAACCATCTATTTCTATGGGCAATTTTCCATGGCTGTGTTAAATAACCAGAGGGTAAACGTTTTTGGTTTTTTTTTGGTCCGATAACATCATAGTAGCTATAGATAATGGAAAAGCTATAGTTGATAGGTGCTTTATCTCATTATCATTTATTATCTATAGGGCTAGGGTTTCAATCATCCTTTTGCGTCATCCACAGTATGGAACCAAGGTACTAAGCCACTAAGCCGTCACTGTGGCTTGGTGCTAGGGAGAGAAGGCTCTCCGGGCCATGGTAAATTGATAGATAGATAGTTTCCCACGCAGGAAGTTATACCCTCTGGTGATCAAACGTGGCGATTGAAACCCCCCATAAATGGAGGTTTTCATGGGACCATCATCTATTAAATGGGAGATGTTTCATTGCCATGTGGGTATGGATCAATACCTATTAATACCATTTTTAGGGGGATGAACATCCATTTACCAGCTATTTTGATGTTCACCAGGGGTACAAGGTTTTGACACACTGCCATGTTTGATTGCCGGATGGTAACCAGGTAATCCCCCAAAAAAAAACAGCCACAGCCACACTCTTCCCTTGTTTTGACGCCGTGCTGTCGATCCAATTGGTGCTTTCCTCACCGCCGCCACTCCAAAGAATAGCGATGCTTCCGGCCATTGCCGGGCGGAGTCTCCACGGATCAGGCTTCACTCGGCGTGAAATGTGCAAAATAGGTCAGGTGACGTCAAGGGAGTCAGCAAGTGGACCAGATCGACCTTGGTGTCATATATTGACGGCACACAGAAATCCAAACGAAATCCGATTTGAGGACCAAACCTAGTGTATACATAGTTGGTATTATTATATGTGCATTTATTTGTTTACTTAACTTATTTGTTGATTGATTGATTTATGTGTTTATCTATTTATTTATTGATATGTATATGCACGTGGTTTGTGCATGTCCGTTCATGTTTTTTGGCTCCATACCCGCTGTCCCCCAGCCATGGATGGCCTTCTCCCCTCCAAGAGACGGAAACCAGGGCCGCTTTAGATGCAATCGACATGCCTTGGCCGCGATTTGTTGGGGATGATTTTGTTGGCCGATCTTGCTACCCCATCGATTTTGTCACCATTCTGGGTGGTTCTAAATTTCTAAATTCCGATGGTGGTTCTCATGACACCTCTTGGAAAGAAAAAAACAAACATCAAAACAAAAAAAACGTTGCAGCTCTTTGCAAATGATCTGTGGGAGTGGGAGTGGTTCGCAACCTATTACGTTGCGGTCAAAATCCTCAACTAGCTCTTATCGTGCTCCATGTTTTCTAAGGTCCCTTGGCTGGTTGGATTGAGATAAGTTTGATAGTGCCCCAATCATTTATAGTGCACTCACCCCCGAAGACATGGATACAAAGTTCCAAAAACGACAGCAAACACCCAAGACTTTGACCGCATGTCAACATGTCAACTCTGGATTAGTGAACCCTGCTTGACTCATTGGGGGGTCACCCGTTCTTCTGAAACGATATCCGATGCTCCGTTTCAACAACGGGGTTTTCCGAGTCGGCTGACATTATATCTCTATTGTCCCACAGCTGATGCTTTGGTGAAATCTACAAAATGTTCCAAATTAGCTTGATTTAGAACCTGTTAGCTTGTGAACTCTAAATTCTCCTGGCTAAAAAATCACATTTAGCTATGTTGGTAAACTCTCAGCCCCTTGGCTCCCCATTTACTGAATATGATGGTACCATTGGATACCCCTCCCTTCACATTTCTGGCCATGGTGCCATGGAATCCGACACCACCAAGCCCTCGCCGCAGCTTGATTGATCATCAGCAAGGGACAAAACGCTCCAGTTTTTGGGACAAAACGAACCCAGCTTTTTTTGATGAGTGCAATTTCAATGATTTCAATGTTTCAACCAGGCTTTAACTACCCAAAAATTAGGCCAGTTGCCCTCTCAAAACGCAGATTCCTGAACAAAGGCGCAAGGCTTTTTGACCCAGTTCTATTGGGTTGTAACTGTGATTATGAACCCATAGGCCTGCCATTGGCGGCCTGACAGTTCTAAGTGGACCTAATTGGATGTAGTTGGCTATAAATCTCCATCACATCTTGCAGCTCAGGGACATTTAATTCGTCCTCCGTAAGCATTGTCTCAATCTCTGGGTCTGGTGTGCTGCTGCTGGGATGTACCTGCGCAGCCACAACATGACTCCATGATATTGCCATGTCCATTAGAGTCAATAAATGTCAGGAACATATGTAATCTGATATACAGAATATACCCATCATATCCCAGATTTCTGGTTAATCCCTTCCTCCTAATACTAAACGTCCCCCTAATACTAAAAACAGGCATCCATCTCCAATTTCCGAAAATTTCAGTTTGGCCAATTTGACTTTTAATTGATCCCCTTTAAAAAACAATTTAAAAATCAACCTACCATTTGTGGGTTCTCCCCCCTAATACTAAAAACTAGTTCACCCCGGGGTGTTTAGTATTAGGGGGGCCTAGTCCCAATCCCTCACTCCAAGCTGCCTAGCTACTCTAGCAATTAGGGGTAAGCTTCTAACTGCCATTTTTGGCAATATTTTAATTGCGTTATATAAGGAAATTTAATTGATTTTGAGATCGGAAAAAATAGTTTTTAGTATTAAGGGTTTTAATTTAGTATTAGGGGTAAGCTTCGAACTGCCATTTTTGGCAATATTTCAATTGCGTTATATAAGGAAATTTAATTGATTTTGAGATCGGAAAAAATAGTTTTTAGTATTAAGGGTTTTAATTTAGTATTAGGGGTAAGCTTCGAACTGCCATTTTTGGCAATATTTTAATTGCGTTATATAAGGAAATTTAATTGATTTTGAGATCGGAAAAAATAGTTTTTAGTATTAAGGGTTTTAATTTAGTATTAGGGGTAAGCTTCGAACTGCCATTTTTGGCAATATTTTAATTGCGTTATATAAGGAAATTTAATTGATTTTGAGATCGGAAAAAATAGTTTTTAGTATTAAGGGTTTTAATTTAGTATTAGGGGTAAGCTTCGAACTGCCATTTTTGGCAATATTTTAATTGCGTTATATAAGGAAATTTAATTAATTAATTAACATGACTTCGATTTGGTTCCCTAATAATAAATACCCCCCTAATACTAAAAACTACCTGCCGTGTTTTGTATTAGGGGGGGGGGTTTAGTATTAGGAGGAAGGGATTACAAGTACAATAGATGTGCAGATTTGTGTACCCCGCACCATCCAGTAGCAACTGGATAAGGACGAGGAGCTATGTGCAGGCAAAGGCCCTCCATATCTTCTTTGAGCCCTACACGGCCAGCACCTGCGGGAACTCCGCTTGGAAACAGTGGAAGCCATCAGCCATATCAAAGCTACTGGCATGAGTCAGAGCCCATATATATCTACATATATACATATTATATATATATAGAATATATATATCATATATATAGAACACACATATATATATATAACATATATATATATATGTATGTGTGTGTGCGTGTGTGTAGAATTTACATACTATCAAGATTATATCAAGATCATCGAAGATCCATACAATCAAATACAAACACTGACCTGTTATCTGCATTGAAGATCATTGAACCGGATACCTGAATCTCACCCTCGGGTAAACAAACAGTTTGCTATTGAACATGGCCCAGTCGAAATAGTGGATTTACCCATTCATAGCATGGTGGATCTTTCCATAGTTTTTTGTATGTTTACCAGAGGGTAAATCCGACTAAATCCCATAAGATCCCATTAAACCACCATTAAACCACCATAAAATCCCATTAAATCCCATTAAACCATTAGTTTTTTGTATATTTACCAGGCCGGGTAACTCCAAAAGAACCACAAAACACCAAGGATGGTCCCTGGCCGGTTCCCAACCCCGATGACAACGGATGGCACCCATCTTCTCTCGAAGCTTCAACATGAAGGGTGCATCCTGGCATCGGATGGCATCTGCCGTGAAACTGGGCCAGGTGGTGCCATCCCCACTGAAAAATGATGGAGTGAAAGTCAGTTGGGATGATGAACTTCCCAACTGAATGGAAAAATCATCCAAATGTTCCAAAGCACCAACCAGGATCCAGGTCTATCCCAACGAAGTCTCACCACGAATGTGCACGAATGTTTTCAATTTAGCCATCAAATGGTCCCTACAAATATCAAATTCTGTCCCTACATGATCCTTATGTATAGTTATGTTGGCTACTGGCTATTTGGGGACACTGGTCCAGGGAGGGATTGAAATGCCCCCAATAAAGTATGTCTCAAAAGTGTTAGATGTTCAGCTGGCACACCTGCCCCAGGTGCATGAAAGTCTGGAGTCTGGAGCATGATCCACCTATGATCCACCTGCATCTAGAGCACCAGGTATGGCATAGTAGTTGCTCCCCTAAATCCACCATTTCAATCCACTTCATGACTTACCATCCACTAATTTCACATAGTCACATAGCATGGCTCCAAGCAAAATGCTTCTTTACCTCTTCAAAATTGCTGAGGTTCCATCCATCGCAGAGTGGAACGCATCCCTTTTCCGAAAACCCCAAATGGATCCCTCCCATGACGCCGCCCAGCCCTGCGGTCATCATCGGCTCCTCTGCGAACCCTAAGTTGGGATATGGAAAAGAAAGCGCTAACGCTCGGAGGTAAACCTCAGCTGACGTGACGGTGTGAGGTCGTGAGGATTCGTGAGGTACCCACCATTTTTGTCCGAGATGAATCATGCGGGCAAGCCAATGCCAGAAACAACTACCATTTACGGATAGGAGTTAAATCGGGGATGACTTGGGGATGGTAAAAATGGCCTTGGGTTTGACACAGAAAAAAAGGCCCTGTGTTCAATACGAAAATCAAATCATCTGAGGAAAATGGGAAAATGCCACTCTCCGTTATCAGAATCGATTTCAAAAGAAGCAGTATGGCTTAGGAAACGAACCGTGAACCGGGAACCGAACCGTTCAGGAACCGGCAGGCTACGAACCGGCACGAACCGAACCGCCACTTATTCTTACGCAAACCGAATGGGCACGAACCGAACCGCCAATTGTTCTTACGCAAACCGAATGGAACCGAACCGGTTCCACATTCTCAAAAAAGTTATTTTGTCAGCTTCCGGGGGTTCCAACAATAATTTTCACGAATTGAAAATCGAATTGGAAAGAGGAATCAACTGTAATGAATGGATTCCTGCGCAACATCATCTGCCAAAGTGCTGCAGGAATTGCAAGTGATCAGTGCTGGCTGCCACTACTGCTACTACTGCTACTACTGCTACTACTGCTACTACTGCTACTACTGAAACGACTGAAACTACTGCTACTACTGCTACTAAGAACTGTTGCTATTACTAGTACTGTTGCTATCACCAGCACTACTGTTGTATATTATATTACTACCTCTATTACTAGCCTCTCTGCCCGTTCCTGTCCGGCAAAGCCCGGTCGGGACCCATACCTGCTGGGGAACCGCTTACGAGAGGCTACTATTTTTCTTCCTCGTAGTCTTACTAGAACTAGTATTACTTCTTTACTACTATTAGTACTAATTCTACTTATCTTGCTGCTACTGCTACTGCTCCTGCTCCTGCTCCTGCTCCTGCTCCTGCTACTGCTACTGCTGCTACTACTACTACTACTCCTGCTGCTACTACTACTACTACTCCTGCTGCTGCTGCTACTACTCCTGCTGCTACTACTACTACTACTACTCCTCCTGCTGCTGCTGCTGCTACTACTACTACTACTACTTCTTTTTTTCCACATTTTGCCAAAACAACTCCGAAAATTATTTTCGCGCAGTGAAAATCAAGTTCAGGAAAACATCTAATAGTATTCGTCCTAGTACGGCTAGACTACTACTGCTGCGACTATTACTATTACTGTTGCTATCACCACCCCTACGGTTGTATATTATATTGCTACCTCTATTCCTAGCCTCTCTGCCCGTTCCTGTTCGGCAACGCCCGGTCGGGACCCATACCTGCTGGGGAACCGCTTACGAGAGGCTACTATTTTTTTTACTCGTAGTCTTACTAGAACTAGTATTACTTCTTTACGACTACTATTACTCATTCTACTTATAATGCTGCTACTGCTACTGCTACTGCTACTGCTACTGCTACTGCTACTGCTACTGCTACTGCTGCTACCACTACTACTACTACTACTACTACTACAACAACTACAACTACAACTTTTTTCCACTTTTTGCCAACACAACTCCGAAAATGATTTTCGCGCAGTGAAAATCAAGTTAAGGAAAACATCTCCTAGTATTCGTCCTAGTACGGCTAGACTACTACTGCTGCTACTATTACTACTACTGTTGCTATCACCACCCCTATTCTGTTGTATATTATATTGCTACCTCTATTACTAGCCTCTCTGCCCGTTCCTGTCCGGCAAAGCCCGGTCGGGACCCATACCTTCTGGGGAACCGCTTACGAGAGGCTACTATTTTTCTTCCTCGTAGTCTTACTAGAACTAGTATTACTTCTTTACTACTATTAGTACTAATTCTACTTATCTTGCTGCTACTGCTACTGCTACTGCTACTGCTCCTGCTCCTGCTCCTGCTACTGCTACTGCTGCTACTACTACTACTACTCCTACTCCTACTCCTACTCCTACTCCTGCTGCTACTACTACTACTACTCCTGCTGCTGCTACTACTACTACTACTACTTCTACTACTACTACTACTACTACTACTACTACTACTACTTTTTTCACTTTTTGCCAAAACAACTCCGAAAATTATTTTCGCGCAGTGAAAATCAAGTTCAGGAAAACATCTAATAGTATTCGTCCTAGTACGGCTAGACTACTACTGCTGCTACTATTACTATTACTGTTGCTATCACCACCCCTACGGTTGTATATTATATTGCTACCTCTATTACTAGCCTCTCTGCCCGTTCCTGTCCGGCAAAGCCCGGTCGGGACCCATACCTGCTGGGGAACCGCTTACGAGAGGCTACTATTTTTCTTCCTCGTAGTCTTACTAGAACTAGTATTACTTCTTTACTACTATTATTACTAATTCTACTTCTAGTGCTGCTACTGCTACTGCTACTGCTACTGCTACTGCTACTACTACTCCTACTACTACTACTACTACAACTATTTCTACTACTACTACTACTACTACTCCTACTCCTGCTACTACTACTACTACTGCTACTACAACTTTTTTCCACTTTTTGCCAAAACAACTCCGAAACTGATTTTCGCACAATGAAAATGATGTTTGGATAATGTTTGGGTTTTGCAGGCACTGCCTCAATTTCGATGCCTGAAAACGACTTTCGCCATATGAAAATGGCATTTGGCTGCTGATTGAACCTCTGCCGGCCACGACTGGATTTCGACAGCTGCAAGTGATTTTCGCAAAATGAAAATGCCGTTGGCAATGGATCTGTCAATTTCACTGTACAGTGGTTAGATGTAAGAATTCTAATAGTTGATGATGATAATCATTATCCCCAATCCAAGAAACAGCATAAGCACTTTAGTCATCAAAAAACCGTGGTTTTGGACACTGCTTACTTAGATGCTGCAAACACTCGGCCCCACCACCAGTTTCAAACATTCAAAAACCAAATCCCTCTGCTGCAACATAACATTACTATTTGCTATTCATCCACACCCATTCTGTCAAAGACCTCTCGTCCTGCAACACTACACAACACGAACCGAACCGAACCAAACCGCCATGTCACACGAACCGAACCGAACCGAACCGCCATGTCACGCGAACCGAAACGAACCGGCCTGCTGATGAACCGAACCGCCCCTATTTGAGGTTTCCACGAACCGAAACGAACCTAAACGAACCGAAGCCTTCCTGAAGAAGATACCATCTGGTTATTTAACAGTTCGCCATGGAAAGATCCACCATTTTTAAGAACGGTAAACCATCTATAAATGGGCCATCTATACCATGGCAAACTGTTAGTCACAACCAGAGGGTAAATCTCATGGAAGTGCTACCGATCCTGATTTAGATGCACCCAACCCGTAGTTCTCAGGAGCCCGGAAACATGGATGATTGCTTCTTGTTGTTTTAACCAGGGTGAGGCCCCCCAGTTATAAGTTGGTCTATAAACCCCATTTTAAAATATATAATTATATATACCCTCTGGTAAACTAACATAACTATGGAAAATGGCCATTGAAATAGTGGATTTTCCCATTAAAAGCATGGTGATTTTCCATAGTTATGTTAAATTACCGGAGGGTATATATAGTTTTATATAGTTATATCCTTCATAAAATTTCATAAACCTTAGGAAAAACCCACGTTCTCCGTCATTTAGAGGGCCTCACCTTGTATCCCGGTGTCATCATTGCCGCCAGGAAATCCACCAAAAAAATCTTCGTGGGGGGGTCCAGATGGGTCCAGATGGGTCCAGCAAGTCATCTTTGAGAATTGTGAACTGAATTATTCAGATTTGTTGGCTCACTTAGTTTACTTGCACCCGAAAAAAAAACTCAGAAGTGGTTCGAACTTGCAGAAAATTCGGAGACCACCCTGGGGCACATGAATCTTTTGAGACCCCAGATGGACACTGGCTGCCCCTGCATCCCACTGCCCATGTTATTCAAGGAGGCATAGCTAAAGCCATAGCCATAGAGGATGCCCTCGTATTCTTCCTCATCCTGCTCGAGTCGCAGAAACGAAGCGCACGGATTCCAGCTGCGACTCAGTTTACATGTCCTGTGATTTATTGACGCTATTGGCTTTCTCTGAAAAATTGGTACCTCATTAAAAAAAACAATATAATCCAATGCTTCAGCAGCGTTCTCCACATTGAAATTCCTTAAAATAGCCGTTTTCATCAACCTGGCTACCCTGGCTGCCCCTCCTCCGGCTCCCAGCACGCCGGAGTCTGAGCGAAACCGGGGGCTGTTGACCCATTTGCTCCCAGGATCTTCACGACATGTCCAGTGGAACATGATGTGAATCCAAGTGACATGAACCAACGGAAGCTGGAAACAATCACCCCATGATCTCCAGCTTTTGGCTTGTGCCATGTTATTTCATGTTATTTCAGTATGCGGACCAGCAAATCTGGTGCTGCTTTCAATTTTTTTAACAAACCATTCTGTAACGCTGCACTGCCTCGGCAGAATGACTTTCTTCTATGCGTGAACCATGGCTCTACCATTTTTAGATCATATTCCAAGCGAAAACCCATCCACATCATGTATATACACATCATATATACACACACGATATATCAATCATATTGCATTGCAGCGTACTATTGACTATGAGTTGTCATATCTATTTTGTTGTTAACTTAAAGGCCATAATCATGGTTTAGCTCGCTACCCTCCGGTAATTTAACATAGCTATGGAAAGTGCCCCGTGTTTAGATCATTTGCCTATTTAAAATGGTGATTGTCCATAGCTATCTGGGTAAATTATAATAACTCACTGACCTGAAATAAGGCAATTTTGGGATAATCCCCTATACACAAAACATCATTCCAGTGACGTCGCAGTGAGGTCGTTATAATTGTCCGGATAGCTATGTTAAATTCACCGGCTATGTCGCGGCTATGTTGGCTCGCTGCCGCGTTGGATGTCGAGGCACGGAATATCCACATCGACAGTTGGACTCGAAGAAGTTGTGCCATGCAGAAAGGGTCAGCGCGACCAAACTTCTCCTGGTGTTTTTGATGTTTGCACAGGACCATGGTCAATCAGTCCGGTAGTCCACCCCAAAAAAAAACAACTCATCTTTTTGCCGTTGATCTGTTTATGGTGATAAAACGAAAAAAAGAAAACCACCATCCAAGGATGAAAATTTGGACTTTTCACCAGCCAAAATGGGCATTTAACCAACCATGATGACAATGGTTATTGGAATATATTGGGATATACTGGCTGACCAACAAAATGATTAATTATAATTATATTATATAACTATATTTAATTATATATGATTGACCCTCCTGTGTCATCATTGCCATGGCTAGGGGGTATAATGGTTATAACTTATGTATAATATACAATGGGATATTAGGATATATCAACGCAGTGGACATCACCTGCACACAAACTGCCTGGGCGCCGTCATGGCGGATTTTTTTCCATCACCAACTCGGACGTTCGGGTCATTTTTGCGGGGGGTTCATAGAACTGATGCAAGAAAATGCAAGAAACTCACCATAATTATAGAGATTCCCCTGAACTTTCTGGGGGGCAGGACTTGGCAGGGACATTTCACCATCTAACAGACCAAATCTGGCGTTCACAAAAGACAAGGTGCTTCGAAGTGATTTTCCCCAGAGGGATTCAACTAAGAGCAGTGTGCCCCCCGAACCGGTCATCCGATGAAATACTGGTTGCAGATGTCAGCAATGGATTATGACAAACCCCAATATATTGGTTAGTTTGGATAGTGCAACTCCCCCCCCCCAAAAAAAAAAACAGGGGTTTTGAACACTGCTCAACTGCTTTAAGGCAGCAACACCTCACAAAATGTCGGCTGGGTGCAACCACGATTCTGTCTAAGTTCATTCACCATGCGCTCCACATAGACTGTGGCATACAAGTCATCATCATCAAAGTTTACACAGTACCTCCATGGGACGCGGAAAGGGTGCTTAGTCATGTGCCGAAAAACAAACGTAGCTCCGGTCATCAAACGTAGCAATGGAAAATCCACCATCTGCAAATGATGTTCACAATTTTCAACCTCCAAAAAAAAGCTCGGCATGTTCCATTGCATCATATTGCATCCATTGCCACGTTTTTTCTGATCAGCTGGGCGTCTAAACCACCATTTTTCAGCTTAGCGTCTGTCCACTGCACATGAGCACCGTCATATTTCCTCGGTCGCATCGCTCCGTCGAGCGGCTCAACCCAGGGCCAAAGATGTTGGAGATAGCTGGGATGACGAGCTGGAAATGGTACGATAGCTGGGGAATTTCCAGTATGAACTGACTATAGAAATGGTATGGTATAGAAAGGGTATAGAAATAGTATTGCACAATTGATTACCAATTGAGTACCAGAGGGTAGCTTTTAGCAAACTAACATTGTTATCATTGTTCCTGCTCTTGATTCTTATAACAACCTGTCAAGAAAAGAGCCTTTTTTTCACAAAAATCATGCAGAGGACCAAGCAATGTCTGCAATGCCATGGCATTTCACACCTTTCCGACCATTCAGCAGAGATTTTATCATATGGGTATGGGTCAATACCTATAGATACATTTTTAGTGGGATGAACATCCATTTGCCAACTATTTTGGGGTTCACTAGGTACCAGGGTTTTGACCCATCCCCATATTTTATCGTTCCCCTAATATGAAACTCACCAAAAGCGACCCTGCGTATCGAGCAACACCGGTCCAATACATTCCACCATGGTCACCAGGGCTTTGACTTGGACAATCAAAAACACGTTTTTTCAGAATGGATAAGCATCCCATAGTTTTTGCTTATCAAGTCGGAGTTGTCAGGTTATGATGGTTATGTCAGGTTTGATGATGTTTTCAACTTTTCGCCAAAGACACTTTTGGCGCCTACTGTGAGGTCATCGTTCTCGTCCACTTGAATTCCAAGATATTTGAGCCGCTTCTCCTTTGCCTGTCGAGGAGATTTAAGTGATCAGTCGGCGAACTGAACTGTTGCTGTTGAAGTTGGTTTCCAGGGAATGCAAACGTGAGACTGTGGAGGATCGAATGATGAATCGGAAACGTTGGGTCTGTTTCAGCTGGTTGGTGGTTTCAACCCCTCTGAAAAATATTAGTCAGTTGGGATGATTATTCCCAATATATGGGGGTTGTCCAAAATACCTTTTCCCGGACAGCCCTCAATCGCTCAGCCAATCGCGTAGCAACCGCGGTACCACAGTGAGCAATCGCGGAAGGGTTTGTTCTTCGTTGATCAGATCATTTACATAAAATATAAGTTATGTATTATATAATGAGGATCCATGCGTGAACGTATTCGATTTCAAATTTGGGAACAAAATAAGCTCGTGCGGTCCGGAAACGGTCCGGAAAACTCACAGTAGTACCGGCAGCAGTAGTACTAGTAGTACTAGTAGTACTAGTAGTACTAGTAGTACTAGTCGTAGTCGTAGTCGTAGTCGTAGTCGTAGTCGTAGTCGTAGTAGTAGTAGTAGGAGGGGTAAGAGTAGGAGTAGGAGTAGGAATAGGAGAAGGAGTTCTAGTAGCAGGGCAAGGGAAGAAAGGGAGAGGGAGGGAAAGAGAGAAAGAGAGAGAGAGAGGGAGGGAGGGGGGGAAACACAGATGGTTGCGTTTGACCGGTTTCTGACGGGTTTCTGACTGGTTTCTGACTGGTTTCTGACTCGTTTCTGACCCTTCAGCGGAACTCGTGTCAATTGGATTTAAAAGCAAGAGCAGAAATTCCTAGGTGTACTAGTGGTAGTGGTGGTGCAGTAGCAGCGGGTGTGGTGGTAGTACTAAGAGTAGTAGCAAATCTAGTAGTGGGAGTAAGGATCCATGCGTGAACGCATTCGATTTCAAATTTGGAAGCAAAATAAGCTTGCGCGGTCCGGAAACGGTCCGGAAAACTCACAGTAGTACCAGCAGGACTAGCAGTAGCAGTAGCACTAGCAGTAGTGGTAGTGGAAATTGCAATAGGAGTAGGCGTAGGAGTTCTGATGGGAGGGTGAGGGAATAGGCAAGGGAGAGAGAGAGAGAGAGAGATTGCGTTTGGCCGGTTTCTGACGGGTTTCTGACTGGTTTCTGACTGGTTTCTGACTCGTTTCTGACCCTTCACACGAGTGCAATTGGATTTAAAAGCAAGAGCAGAAATTCCTAGGTGTACTAGTGGTAGTGGTGGTAGTGGTGGTGCAGGGTGGTGCAGTAGCAGCGGGTGTGGTGGTAGTGCTGGGGGTAGTAGCAAATCTAGTAATGAGAGTAAGGATCCATGCGTGAACGCATTCGATTTCAAATTTGGGAGCAAAATAAGCTTGTGCGGTCCGGAAACGGTCCGGAAAACTCACAGTAGTACCAGCAGGACTAGCAGTAGCAGTAGCACTAGCAGTAGTGGTAGTGGAAATTGCAATAGGAGTAGGCGTAGGAGTTCTGATGGGAGGGTGAGGGAATAGGCAAGGGAGAGAGAGAGAGAGGTTGCGTTTGGAGTAGGAGTAGGAGTAGGAGTAGAAGTAGGAGTAGGAGCAGGAGTAGTAGTAGGAGTAGTAGTAGTAGTAGCAGTAGTAGCAGTAGTAGTAGCAGTAGTAGTAGCAGGAGTAGTAGTAGTAGTAGTAGTAGTAGTAGTATTAGTAGCAATGATAAGAGCTGAGGTGGATGGATGGATGGATGGATGGGACGCTAGGCAAGTGCTGCCTTTTTGGTGTTTCTGACCTGTTTCTGACCTGTTTCTGACCTGTTTTCAATTGGAGCTAGCTTGAATGTCCTTCTGACCTGAAAACATCTGCGCGGATTCCGCGCGCGCGGAATCCGCGCGGCCATGTCAATTATTGGCATGGTTCTGGTCTCGAAAGTAGTAGTAGTAGTAGTAGTAGTAGTAGTAGTAGTAGTAGTAGTAGTAGTAGTACTAGCAGTACTAGTAGTACTAGTAGTAAAAGTAGTAAAAGTAGTAGTAGTAGTAGTAGTAGCAGTACTAGCAGTACTAGTACTAGCAGTACTAGCAGTACTAGTAGTAAAAGTAGTAAAAGTAGTAGTAGTAGTAGTAGTAGTAGTAGTAGTAGTACTAGTAGCAGTACTAGCAGTACTAGCAGTACTAGTAGTAAAAGTAGTACGAGTAGTAGTAGTAGTAGTAGTAGTAGTAGTACTAGTAGTAGTAGTAGTAGTAGTAGTAGTACTAGTACTAGTAGTAGTAGTAGCAATAGGGTGGTAGCCGTATAACCAATCGCCAACCAATCGCTCAGCCTATCGCGATGCAGGTTTTAGCAATCGCGCAAAGCAAAGTAAACGCATCAATTCATAAATTTGTGACCTGCTTTTACGGACGGCTCCCATATGTAAAAATAAAAAATGTTCCAAACCACCAACCAGTCAGTGTCTGTAAGTTTGGAGCTGTTGCTGTAATTATAAATCAAGATGTGGCTGGATAGTATGATGGCAACGAAGTGTTTCAGCCCATGAACAAGAACTACTGGTAATGACATATAGTATACATAGTATTTAGTTCTCTCTCTCTCTCTCTCCCCCTATATATACATATTATACATATATTGTGCGTGTGATCATGTGTGTTTGCTTTCTTAATCAACTGGACATCCCTACCAGCGTGGGACTCAATTTGAAGCTGCTGTCTCTACCTTCGTAGGCCATGCCGGTTCAATCATTTGGATTCATGTGGGTCGTGAAACATCGTCATTCCATGTCCCAACAAAATCGTCGTTTTTTTTTCACAAATGGTATGACCTAAGATGGTCATGATACCATCCACCATCCACCATTCGAACAAAACCCCACTTGCACAGCTTCGTCCCTTTCCCTCGCTCCCCGGTGGGTCCTTGAGCAGTTTGGTAAAAACCTCGGAGGGTTTCTCCTTCTTGGTGTAGGTCTCCACTACGACCAGCTCCTGGAAACCATCGGCACTTCAATCGGCACCATGCCATGGTGGTCCTCTGGTGATCCCATCATCCGGTCCGTCAAAAATGGACAAACATAGCGACATGGAAGCCATGGCCCAGTCGAAATAGTTGATGAATACCCATTAATTTCTAGCATGGTGGATCTTTCCAGTTCGTTTTTTGTATGTTTTCCAGAGAGTATAATATGATGTTATGATGTTATGGGAAACCAGGACGTCATGGGAAACCAGCATGCTATCGGGATCGGATGCTCAACAGCTCCTTGTCTGGCCAGGATTGATCGACGAAACACTGCCACAGTTGCTCATGAAAACGCGCCTCAGCGCAGCACCAACGACGAGTGACAAGGGACTGTTTTCCTGGTACTGAAACACCATGTCTGGAACCGTGTTTGGGTGTTTGGTGATGCAAAGAGGTGTCTGAGCAAAAACATCACAAATACCATCTGGTTATTTAACATAGCCATGGAAAGATCCACCATTTTTAAGAACGGTAAACCATCTATAAATGGGCCATTTTCCATGGCTATGTTAAACAACCAGACGGTAAAATCCCACTTAAAAAGTGGTCACAGCCATACTCAACTTTTGCATCATAGCATCATAGCAAGATCCTTAAGACATCACCTTTGGGGCACGCACACATTGGCACGCATTGGCTTGGGACTATTAGTGGTCAATCAATATATATATATATATACCTCGAGTTATTTATATTTGTAAATATACAAGGTGTATATGTATAAATCCGTATATGTCGTGTATATATATATATTTCCATGTCAAAACAAATGCTGAAAACCACTCCATCACCGGTCATCGAACCACTTCACCCAGGCACTCTGGACGCAGTGGTCGGTGTCAAGATGGACACTCGACCTGAGACCTGCGGAGAAAAAATGAATAAACAGTTTGGACTTCATTATCTATTTTTATTGGTTTTTAAGTCCACATATCATTTAATCCCTATTGTTGTTGGTTAAGTCCCCATAAAATGTAAATTTGAAGGTTTCCTAAGTCATGGGGATACTGTACTCCTAAATCATCCATTTTAACTTTTCAATATTAACTATCCATTTTGGGGGTATCCTTATTTATGGAAACCCCTATGTGGGAAGATCTGGAGTAGTCTCTCTCTCTCTCTATGGAACATACGGACCATATTCATATAATTTGATATGTAATACATGTAACTGGGATAATTGGAATACAAGATGAATAATTATGTTGGATAAAGGCACTTGTAAGTTGATTTGCGCTATCCCGTCTAACTGTTTGATAAGAAATTTGATATACCCTCCGGTACACTAACATAGCTATGGAAAATCACAATTTTTAATGGGTAAATCAACTATAAATGGCCATTTTCAATAGCTATTTTGACATAACCAGAGGGTATCAGCCGTAAATACAATCCCTCGCCATGTATGGAATACTAGTCATCCCTGGTGATCCCAGCATTCTGACCATTCTGACTGGGCAGCGGATTGAATGTAACCCCCCATATCAATGGGTGCATTACAGTATATAACCCTTACCTTCTGGTAAAACTTAACAGTTTATAACAGTTTGCTATTGAAAATACCCCATAGAAACAGGGTAACTTAACATAGCGATTGAAAATATCCCATTTAATTTATAGTTGAATAGTTGAATTAGTTGATGAATACCCATCAAAAATGGTAATTTTCCATAGTTATGTGGCTCTTCACCGGAGGCTACTTATTTCATGAAAATGCTGGCTGCCCCCCCCAGTTGCGCCCCCCCCGGATTGCAAGGTGGCACCAAAAATTAATAGCAGGTTATTAAGTTTTTTGGTTCCGGTTTGGAGGCGCGCACTGAAGACAAGGCGCGCAAATAATCACAAGCATGTGGTTTTGATATTAGATGGTTATTAAAGGTTTCTCTTCCATTTTGGAGCTCGCGCGTTGGAAATACAGCGCGCAAACACTCACGGGCAGGTGTTTTTTTATTGGCTGTTTATTAAGGGTTTCAGTTCCGTTTTGGAGCTCGAGCGTTGGAATCGCAGTGCGTAAACAGACATGGGCATATGCTTTCTTATTAGCTGGTTATTAAGGGATTCTGCTTTGGAAGATTTGAGAGCAAAAGGTTTGCAATTGAAGATTTGGCCTGTCATTATTTTATGAGGCGCATCGTGGGGAGGCAACCAGAATTCCGATTCGTATCCATTTACTTTGAAATTTTTTGGATCCCCAATGAATGTTTCACAGAAGGCTAACCCCTCCCGCCCCCTAGCCCCCCCCGCCTATAGTAGGCCTTAATTAAGGCCAAATTAAGGGTTGAGTGGTTTTCCCCAATTTTTGGTTCAAAGTGCTTAATTTGGCCTTAATTCTTTGATGGGATTACTGAATTGGCTTTCAAGGGTCTTTCCTACATTCATAGAATTTTGTCTTGGGTCAAAAGAGTAAACATGTGTACAAACAAAGACCCAAGTGAATTTTTGAACAAACAGAGGAACGCACCAAATCAAATTAAGATTTTAACCAAAAAAAAGGAAATTGAACGTTTCCAAGTTACGAATAAAGAACTGCGCTGAAGCGAACAAGCAACTATTTTGACTTTCACGCTTCAACGTTCGCAAGTTTCCAGATTAGACCCAATTAAACCCAACGAACAAAAACCACAAGGAAAAATGAAATTTTCCAAACCAAGACTAAATTAAGGGCCAATTAAGCTTCAAATGGTGGAAAAACACCGGGAAAATCAAAATTTCAAAATTAAGACCAAATTAAGGCCTAATTAAGGCCCAATTAAGGCCCAATTAAGGCCTAATTAAGGCTCAAATGGTGGAAAACACAGGGAAAACACAATTTTCCTAATTAAGGCCAAAAATTAAGGCCTAATTAAGGCCTAATTAAGACTCAAATGGTGGAAAACACCGGGAAAACACAATTTTCCAAATTAAGACCAAATTAAAGCCTAATTAAATTAAGGCCCAATTAGAGCCTAATTAAGGCCTAATTAAGGCTCAAATGGTGAAAAACAAAGGGAAAACACAATTTTATGAAAAACATTGCAAAAACAATGAAAAATTAATGACAAGGTTTGGCTCGAGGACTTCGACCCTGGCTCGAGGACTTCGACCCGTACAAGTCGTTTTTCCGCTAACGCGCGCGCACGCGCGCGCGCGCGTTAGCGGAAAGACTGGCCCGAGGACTTCGACCCATCCACCCGGGGTACTACAACGGGGAAACACAACGGGGAAACAAAAAGGGAACACAACGGGAAAAAAATGGAAAAATGAAAAAAAAATATATCTATAAATTTTAATTTTATTTAAGTGCTTTAAAACAATGTATGTATATAAATCCAATGAAAAAAAAACGAAAATTTCAGATTTTTTTTGGAAATATTTTTTTCATTTGTTCATTTGATTTAAATGCAATAGTGTATCAAAATGTTTTAAAACATATTTTTACCATAAACTAAATCAAAAAAATGAAAAAATATTTCCAAAAAAAATCTGAAATTTTCGTTTTTTTTCATTCGATTTTTTCATTTTTCCATTTTTTTCCCGTTGTGTTCCCTTTTTGTTTCCCCGTTGTGTTTCCCCGTTGTAGTACCCCGGGTGGATGGGTCGAAGTCCTCGGGCCAGTCTTTCCGCTAACTACGGGTCGAAGTCCTCGAGCCAGGGTCGAAGTCCTCGAGCCAGGGTCGAAGTCCTCGAGCCAAACCTTTTCATTATTTTTTCATTGTTTTTGCATTGTTTTTCATCAAATTTCATTAATTTTTCATTGTTTTTGCAATGTTTTTCATCAGTTTTCATTGGTTTTCATTATTTTTGCAATGTTTTTCATCTAATTAAGGCCTAATTAAGGCCCAATTAAGGCCTAATTAAGGTTTAATTAAGGCTCAAATGGTGGACTAATTAAGGCCCAATTAAGGCCTAATTAAGGCCTAATTAAGGCTCAAATGGTGGAAAAAACCATGGGAAATCCAATTTTCCATATTAAGACCAAATTCAGGATCCAATGGTGGAAAAGCACAAGCACATTTTAAATTTCTGAAATACATATACAATGCGAAGGACCTAAGTAAGCGTAATTCCAATCAATTTGACATGATAGACACTGGAAATACGCCGCCTGGATTGTACACCAAATGAAGAAATATATTTCCACCAAACTTACACCCATCCAGGTCATGAAATGCATCCAAAGACCGGACTACATTGGGAGAAGTGGACCAAATAGGACCAAATTAAGGATTTTCATCCAAAGAATTTGGAATACACTGGAGAAATTGAATAAACATGAAACACGGCAAATGTCACCAAAATTAAGACTGAATTAAGCTAATTTGGCCTTAACTAGGCTTTATTTTTTTCCACCAAAATAAGGCCTAGTTAAGGCCTTATTAAGGCCTTATTAAGGCCTTAATGTGGTTTTCTGGGAAGGGGGGGGGCTAGGGGGGGGGTTAGCTCTCTATGAATGTTGGAACTTCAAACCGCAATGCATGAGTTTCAGGGGGTATTGGATGGGCTATTAAATGGGTATTATCCATCTAATACTTTTCTGGGGTCAGTGAATGTCAACAATAGAAATGTAAGAACCAGAGCTTTTTAATTGGAATTCCATTGTAAATATATGAAAGTATAGTTGGTTGTTATGCAGTGAGATTTGGTTGTCCGTGTGTCCTCTCAAACCTGCCATCCCCACAAATGGCTAGAATTGGCTAGAATCCTAAAGGGACGAGCTCAAACCGGCCAGCCAAGTGCCACAAAGTGGACAGGACAAAGCCCCTCGCAGCTTGGAAAAACAAAAATGTCATCACTATTTGTCGTCACTCATGAGCAGTGAGTGGGTGTCCCTTGCGCACCCAAAAACTTTGTTTTTACATAAGGGGTAGTTGTCACCACAAACGTTTAGGGTTGCTTTGGGAAATGTATTCGGAAGACGGGCCTCACGGCCTTGCCACAATGCTTCTCACAATAAAGGAATATGAATGCTGGCCAGCATTTATCATTTGCTGGAAGCTGATT